CCACCAACATGGCAAGCGGTCAGGGTGGTGTCAGGGGGAGCGGAATGAGTCCTCCTCCGACTTTCTTGCCTCTATACCAGTGGTGATCGTTTAATGATCTGTTTCGGAGGAAAATAAACAGTGGTGGGAAGCAGTGGCAGGGCGCTGAGCTCATTTCATTCCAAGTGGAAACTGTATTGGACAGTTTTCACACCATGCGAAAGGTTGAACATTTTTCAGTGTGAGCTGAGTGTGATTTGACCTGTTTTCTCTTCCTTAGTGGCTTGATCCCTTCGTGGATTATCTGTATAACGCTGGGTATAGATATCGATTAGACAGCGTTCATAGTTTGCGAATCCCTTGCAATCGAATCGGCGAACTCGTGAGCAAGGATCAGATACGCATCGATCGCGAGATCAAGTGTATCAAATGACGATTCGGCAATTCTGTGACCGGTGGAGGAATGCGTTGGTCTTTTCTCATTCTTTTTCATTCATAGCGCCGACTACGAAAGTAAGAGCATACGCGCAAGGACCAATATTAAGATCGCACGTCGTACGTACGTCCTGGCGTTCTCCCATCTTCTCCTGATTCTCAGTGTCACCAATCATGAACGGCTCTTTGACCGCCCCGTAGTTGGACCCGGTGGAACCAATCGAGTTGTGTCCAGCCTTCGTCGTGGATTTCCGAATCGTCGCGAAAGAAGTTTGAGCGCAATCTCACTTATATACAAAGCACAAAGGCAGGCTGGAGAGCGGAAATAGCCTTGCTGGACTTAGCGTCTCTGTTGCCCTGTCCATTGCAATGAAGGTGAAGCTTGCTGGGCGAGTCAGTGTTGAGTGTGCTATCAGAATCGATCTGCTGTTCAGATGTGTACTCAAGCAGAGGGGACATGGCACCCGGGCGATTCTATCGTCGGCAAGTCAGGCGACGCCGCACACGCCGCGCCGCGTCGCTGCGCGGCACGCCGCGACGCGCGCTCCCGGGAGACGGTAAAGAGGATCGTAATTCGCCGCACCGCCACGCGCGGCGATGGGCGCGGCGTTTTCATAACTCGTTTTAACCTGTCGAATGGAGCACCGGACTTCATGTAGATCGTAGACACTCATTACTGTTTTCGGTGCATGTTGTCGCCATCTACTGCCTGAAACCATCGTCCTTTGCGGGCGGGACGTCGCACGCGACGCCCAGCAGCGCGGCAAATTACGATCCTCTTGTCACATACCCATGCTAACATCCGTCGTAAGCGCGCGTGTCGCGTGCGGCTCTCTTGGCACTTTGCCAAGTCCTGTAATTGCGCTTTGGAATACAAGTAAACGCAATTTCCTGATGCGGATACATTTTAGGTGCTGCAAAATAAGAACCGAAGATGATGACGAGGGCCAGAACTCAAGAGTGAAC